CTGTTAGGAAAGTAACCATGTACACACAACACACCTTCAGCTACTGGACACCACAGGGGAGCTTTATTAGGCTTGGGTATGCTTATATTTGTTGCCATTTTGACAACTTTCCCATTCTCTTTGTCACTATCTTCYTGTTGCTTTGGTTTAAAGGCATTTTTCTGACAAGAACTTGGAGGAAAAACCTGGGAAAATGAAAGTGAGGTAATGGGAAAGGGAATCAAGAAAATGAAAAATGAAACATATYTATTATGCTTGCCTCAGCTCCGCGAAATACTGGACTTATTCCTTGCAATGAGTGGACTCCCAGGGGTAGTTCAAGTGACCTTATCTGCTTGCAAAGCGAGTCRTAAGTGGTCATCACATGTTGCATGTTTTCTTCTCCCGTTTCCACTGAATCCAGCATCTGGGATCCTGGGCTTTTGTCTTTTGCAGGAGTGTTGGTTTTTCTCRTAGATACTTGTAGTATGGGATCGAGTTGATTAGCAATGAAATGAACCTCAGATGGATCTATCTTGCAATGCCTAAAATGATAAGTTATAGCGGACTTCATAGGAGAATCAACTTWAAAAAATCTCAAATTTAAATGACACAGAATGATATGACATTCTGTAACAGTGAAATGACTTTGAATATCATTATTACGGCTACAGTAAGATACACCATGGCTACAGCATAGCTACRAACTTGTCACACCATTTTCCACTCACACAAAAACAGTTCTTACATGTATGCCACTACACTAAATGAGAGCTGATCTGCCACACGTGATGGCTCTCAAAAACCATGGCATGTGTGCAGCACTGTCACAATGTTTTCCCACTCTTTTATACATTATCTATTTTTCAGTATTGTCGATAGTACCTTTGGAGAATATGCTTGATAACCTGGCCACAGATGACTCTCCTATCTGCTATGGTTCTACAAGACCAAACCACTGCCTCTAGGATAGAACCATCTTGGAATCGTCGRAGCTCAGATTTCCCACCCCAGTATGCTCTGAACTCCCCAGCCTAGGATGGAAGTGATATCTTCTTTTTAGTATTAATTAAGGTTATCAAAACTCAATGAATCATTTTACTTACAATATAAACTGGCAAGGCTATCAAGTTAGGTTTAGTGCTGAGGTAACCACTTAAAATTCAAGGACTATTCAAGGAGTATACAAGGACCCAAAAATGAATTTGCAAGGAGTATGTTCAGCTAACTATGCCAAGGTTTTACACGGTGGTTAGACATGGCCGACTTTTAGATTTTCCAATGTTTCTGACTAGATCTATTTCAGAACCATGCAAGTAATGATCAAAGCAAAAATTCAAAGAGTTTTCAAGGAGTTTAAGTACATATCATTATTAATTACCATTCATCATTTATTTATCACAATTATTATCAATATCAATATCACCAACATCAACACAATCATCGATGAAATCACTGCAGAYGACTGCAAACAGAATATACATGTAGGTATAGGATCTAGTGTTTCTTTGTCTTTACCTGAGGGTCATCAGCAGGAGGTCCTGTTTCCAGCACTTTGTCTGAGTGATTAGGGTCCAACAAGAAACCAACCATCAAACTGTCATGTGATACGAAAGGGGGTGACTCTTTCACAGACCACTGAAGAAAATAAAACCATTTGTTACAGTAATCTATAYCATGTACAGTCATGCGAGATCTGAGTAGTGTACAGTATGTTAGCTATGACTTAGATCAAACCCAAGGTCATTTTAGGGTTCAATCTGTGAGTCGGCCATGTCCTGATATAAACCAGTGCAGAAGTTGTTTCAAGGTTTGACWAAAATTCTGTATGTCTAAAAGTTTGTTTCAAGGTTTCTGTCAGTGTACCATACGTTTTTAAATGTACTTACTAAATAGACAACTATTGCTAATTGGTGTACATTTTATGTTCAGTTATGAAGAGAAAATTTACCTGCTTTGCTGCCAATGGTTTAAAGCCTATGAGCTCAATCCTCTTTCCCAGGCCCTTTTTCAACAGGTCAATCATCCAATCACAAACAGCTGGCACCCAGTCTCCTCCTCTGCTCAGCATCTGTGCCTGAAGCTCAGGTTTGTYCTTTGTCTCTTCCAAACAAGTGACAGATGACAGACTAGAAAAATAAAATGCTTATGAGCATTAACAAATTTTATGCTTCCTTAGATGAGTGACTCCTTAGAAGAAGCATACTACTTACACTTGAAAGCTGGTATACAAACTTAGAACAAAAACTGYTTATAATAACCGAAGTCAACAATTACCGGCACCTTACAACAACTCATTCACAACCTCAAACAAAAGACTGCRACTCGTGATAACAACCACACTTCTTTACATAACAATACCRACTAATTAATACCATCAAGTGTCTCTCGTTTTCTTACTGGACTCTGAAGTTGACTTCTGCTCAGGTTGTCRAAATGTCAGTCACCACCAACAACAGTCTTTCTAAGACTACACTAACCCAGATGATCACACACTTCACAACAAAGAAGTATAGTGTTGTTCAAGGATCAAAGAATTTATAACGATAACTTACCACACAAACTGATCAAAGGTCTGGAGGAARGGGACTTTCCTCATGAACATCACTTCAAATCCATCAAGAAATCTGCTGTCTAGAAACTCTATTGCAAGCTTGGCTTCATGCTTAACCTTAACACAATGATATTTGGATTAGCAGTGTGTATAAGGTCCAGAT